ATGAGCTCCACGGCCCTGCAGTGCGTTCCCCCTGTCCCCATGTGCTCCATGGCCCTGCAGTGCATCCCCCATGTGCTCCATGGCCCTGCAGTGCATTCTCCATATGCTCCATGACCCTGCAGTGCATCCCCCATGTGCTCCATGGCCCTGCAGTGCATCCCCCATGTGCTCCACGGCCCTGCAGTGCATCCCCCATGTGCTCCACGGCCCTGCAGTGCATCCCCCATGTGTTCCACAGCCCTGCAGTGCATCCCCCATGTGTTCCACAGCCCTGCAGTGTGTCTCCCCATGTGTTCCACGGCCCTGCAGTGTGTCCCCCCATGTGTTCCACGGCCCTGCAGTGTGTCCCCCATGTGCTCTATGGCCCTGCAGTGTGTCCTCCCATGTGTTCCACAGCCCTGCAGTGTGTCCCCCATGTGTTCTGTGGCCCTGCAGTATGTCCTCCATGTGTTGTTCTGTGGCCCTGCGATGTGTCTCCATGTGTTCCACAGCCCTGCAGTGTGTCCTCCATGTGTTCCACAGCCCTGCAGTGTGTGTCCCCCAATGTGTTCCATGGCCCTGCAGTGTGTCCCCCCATGTGTTCCATGGCCCTGCAGTGTGTCCCCCCATGTGTTCCACGGCCCTGCAGTGCGTCCCCCATGTGCTCTATGGCCCTGCAGTGCGTCCCCCATGTGCTCCATGGCCCTGCAGTGCATCCCCCATGTGCTCCATGGCCCTGCAGTGCGTCCCCCATGTGCTCCACGGCCCTGCAGTGCGTCCCCCATGAGCTCCATGGCCCCGCAGTGCATGCTCCATATGCTCCATGACCCTGCAGTGCGTCCCCCATGAGCTCCATGGCCCCGCAGTGCATGCTCCATATGCTCCATGACCCTGCAGTGCGTCCCCCATGAGCTCCATGGCCCCGCAGTGCATGCTCCATATGCTCCATGACCCTGCAGTGCGTCCCCCATGTGCTCTATGGCCCTGCAATGTGTCTCCATGTGTTCCATGGCCCTGCAGTGTGTCCTCCCATGTGTTCCACAGCCCTGCAGTGTGTCCTCCCATGTGTTCCACGCCCTGCAGTATGTCCTCCATGTGTTGTTCTGTGGCCCTGCGATGTGTCTCCATGTGTTCCACAGCCCTGCAGTGTGTCCTCCATGTGTTCCACAGCCCTGCAGTGTGTCCCCCAATGTGTTCCATGGCCCTGCAGTGTGTCCCCCCATGTGTTCCATGGCCCTGCAGTGTGTCCCCCCATGTGTTCCATGGCCCTGCAGTGTGTCCCCCCATGTGTTCCACGGCCCTGCAGTGTGTCCCCCAATGTGTTCCACGGCCCTGCAGTGTGTGTCCCCCATGTACCTTCTCATTTCCTCACCTCCAAGTGATGAATCTCTTCTCAGGTTTTAAAATCCAAACATTTAGGACTGGCTGATGGCTGGGGATGTAAAATGCTCAGTGGTAGTGCAGTTGCCCATGTGAGTGAGGCCCTGGGTTCCATCCTCAGCACTGCCAAATGACAACAAACCTGTCAGAGTCATGTAACCAAACACCAGCTCCAAGTATACTTTGCTTAACTACTTTGGAAAATTACTATCTGAGGTCTGGGCTAGCTCTGTTATTTTTTGAGACAGGGTCTCATGTGGCCTGGGCTAGCCTACAGCTCCTTATATAGACAAGGATGATCTTAATTAATTAATTAATTATTTGTCTGGGGATGTAAAATGCTCAGTGGTAGTGCAGTTGCCCATGTGAGTGAGGCCCTGGGTTCCATCCTCAGCACTGCCAAATGACAACAAACCTGTCAGAGTCATGTAACCAAACACCAGCTCCAAGTATACTTTGCTTAACTACTTTGGAAAATTACTATCTGAGGTCTGGTCTAGCTCTGTTATTTTTTGAGACAGGGTCTCATGTGGCCTGGGCTAGCCTATAGCTCCTTATATAGACAAGGATGATCTTAATTAATTAATTAATTAATTAATTATTTTTGTCTTTTTGAGACAGGGTCTTCCTGTAGTCCCAGCTGACCTGAACTCACTATGTAGACCAGGCTGGCCTTGAACTCACAATGATCCGCTGCCTCTGCCTCCTAAGTGCTGGGACTAAAGGTGTGCGCCACCAACGCAATTTTTATTGTCTGTCTCCACCTCCAGAATACTGGGATTACAGGGTTGCACCACCATGCCTAGTTTATGTACTGCTGTGGCACTAACCCAGGGATTTATACAGGCTAAGCAAACACTCACCAACTGAGCTACATCTGTAGCCCCATCATTTTTTTTCTCTTTCCACCTCTTTTCCTTCTTTCCCTTCTTCTCTTCCTCCTTTTTCTTCTCTTCTCCTCACTGAGATAGCATGTCCCTGGCTGGCCTTGACCGCATGGTCTTCCCATCTCAGTTTTCTGAGTGCTGGGATTGTAGGTGTGTGCCACTATAGCCTTTAGGATAATAGCCCTTGTTTTGTTAAGGTAAAACATACTCTTTTGGGGGGCTGGAGAGACAGCTCAGTGGTTAAGAACATTGGCTGTTCTTGCAGAAGACCTGGGTTTGAATCCCAACACTCACATGGTAGCTAACAACTGTCCTGTCCGTAACTCCAGTTCCAGGGGATCTGACAGCCTCTTCTGTCCTCTGCAGGCATTGCATGACACAGGTGCACTACCTACATGCAGGCAATGCACAAATACACATTAAAAAAAAAAAAAAGCTTTTTTCAGTTATCAAAGTTTTCATTTATTTGTGCATGCACCAAAATTTAATGGATCATCCTATACCTGGCAAACACTGAAGATACTAAATTGAATTCCTCCCTCCCTCCTTTCCTCCCTCTGTCTCCCTACCTGTCTCCCTCCCCCCTTCCCCCCGCCTCCAAATAGAAAGTAGTGCTGAAGGGACCTTCGACCTGGGGGTAACTACTAATAGGCACAGAGTTTCCTTCTGGGGTATAGAAATGTTCTGAAATTAGAGTCTGGTGCTAGAGCTGTAGCTCAGTAGTAGAGTGCTTGACTTTAACACACAAGGCCATGGGTTCAGTCCCCAGCACTTCAAAGAAAAGCAGCACTAACAACAAATGAGCTCTGATTAGGGACTGGTGGTCATTGTACAACACTGAGAACATACCAAAAGCCACTGGGTTGTATAACATAAAATGGAAATTTTATGATGTGTGAATTATTTCTCAATTAAGCTGTCAAAAATCTCAATGTGACATCATATCTGAAGGTGATCATCATGAGGATTATGACAGCACATGGAGTACCCAAAGCATGGTAACTGGTCAAATTCTGTCTCAAGATCAGTAAGCTGGACCTTTTCTTTACAGCTATATATCTAGAATATTAACCGTCACATAGTTTGCCATTAATGATACTTGTTGAATAAGTGTGAATCTTTCATGTTCAAGCTCAGCAACATTCTTTAAAAAATGTGTTTGTGCATGTGGCTATCTTGAGGTTTCTGCTAACTGAGGCATGTTACTGTGTCTGCGTTAGTGGGGCCTGGCTGCTTGGGCTGTGCTGCATTTGGCTTTTGTCTTTATAGTCCTGGTGTCCTCCATGTTTTAGTTCTCTTGTTTTAACCTCCCAACAGCTGTGATTATAGGCATGTGTCAATATGTCTGGCTTGGACTGTGTTTTGAGCCACCTTACAGTGTTGACCTGAGTGACATGGAGCTTTCCACAGTCCATGTTTCAAAGCTTCTCTTGGGTCTGGGACTATAGACTCAGTTTGAGGAATCAAAGGCTCTACCCAAATCCAAGGCGGGAGTGAGAGTGGGGTCAAAATACTTCGTGAGCATTTTTGCCAGTAATTTAATTCTGTTTGGTTTGTTTATTGTTTGTATATGCATGATGCATTTATGGAAGTCGGGAAAATTTTCAGGAGTCTGTTCATCCACCATGTAGCTCAGGTTGAACTCAGGTTATGAAATTTGATGGCAGACACCTTTACCCACCGAGCCATCTTGCTGCACTGTTTTGTGTTTTTGTAAGAATTTAACTGGCCTGTGTGAATGTGACCCTAAATTGTTCATCATCAGATCCCAGGAGAAAAGTAAACTTAATTTTTGTATATTCTAAGAACTAGAAAGATTTGACACAGTCATTTGTTTGCCCAACACAAGTGATCATTTCTACATATAAGAAATTGTTTTTCTCTTGAGTGCATTTTGAAATTCATATCCTTTTATGAACTTGGCAGTCCACTAATAGTGCCAACTTGCCTTTAAAAGACTATGTTACCGTGTACCATCTGTTTATATTGAGGCTCATGAAGAAAAAGAAACTCTGTGTGTGTGTGTGTGTGTGTGTGTGTGTGTGATATTATACAGCATTTTGTCTTTTTGATTTTTCAAAGTTTTTTCAAAGTTTGTGTAGTCTGGCTTTCTCAGCCCTCTGTGCCCCACCTCCCACCTTACTTCTTTTTGTCTTGGCCAATTCACAATCCTTTTTTTTTTTTTTTTTTTTTTT